TTTTGGCGCCTGGTAGAAGATCACCGGACTAGCACAACCTCCGATGGATTCTTTTTTTTTAGCGCATCGAAAAAAGAATCCTTCGGAGGTTGTGCTAGTCCGGTGATCTTCTACCTGGCGCCAAAATATGAGCTCTAAATCATGCAAAACCCTGGATGACGCCCCTTGGATGTACCTAGAAAAGGCACTGAATCTCTGGTATTTTCGGGAAAAGTAACACATTTTTTTCGGCCAAAGTTGTTTTCTGATTCGGTGCTAACTAGAAAACTGAAAAAAAGTAGCAAAAAATAACTTTTCCAGAAAGGTGGTACATTTCCCGTGGATTCACTCAAAATCCACCCTATTAAGTTCGATCTATGAAATCATTATTTTTCCTAGAATACCTTTCAAATTCCTTGAAAGACCTTTTTTATCGTAACTTTAAAAGTACTGTTAACTTGAGAAGTGTATTACTTAATTTCCTTTTCTATATTTTTACAGTGCATCATTGACAATTTTGGTCTGTTTAGATTGATCTCAATTTGAAATCTAAAAATGTCCAACGCTTACAATAATCAGAGTGGTTTAAATCCAACCAGTAAGTAGTTTCATATTATTCAATCCATCGCTGAGATTGCGACGTTGGCAGAGAATTGAGTAGAAAGTGGAAAATATACGCGTTCAAAGTGAATCAGGGATATCAGATCCAAAGCAAGAAGATCAGAAAATAAAAGCGCATGATAAGAAAATCAGTAGGCCTTTGAACAAAAAAGAGCAGAAACGTGGTAGAAAGTAGAAAAAGTTCCAAAAAGCAGAATTTTTCTGTCAAAATTTGCAGAAGATCTGGGTTCCCTGGAGAGAACACTGATTGTTTTTAATTTTTACTTCCTACTTTAGTTCCACATACAAAAGCTGAAATGGATAATCATGCAAATCAATGTAATCCGAATAATATACGGAAAGTATTCTTGTATCCTTTATTTTCTTCATAATTTCTGGCTATTTTCTTTTCAGATATGGAGGACATCAAGAGCATAAACTGGCGCAACAACTGAATGCTGAAGCTAATGCTTGTGAAACTGATGCTATTGCTGCTAGTGCTTATGCAGCACAAATGGAAGCGGGTAAGTTAGTTCAAATACAATATTTTTGTGTAATAGAAACGCGTTCTTCTGATCAGTAACATCAATAAGATTACAAATATTACTACTGCAAAACTTATATATTAAGAAAAATCATTGGTATATATTTTTCTATTCCGAACTGTTTTTTGTTTTGCTTTATGATCAATAGTCATCATGCAAAACAAAGCAGTCGATCTTTTGAGGAATTACTTTTCTTCCATTGGGAAATGAGTGAGAATATACTTGACTTCTTAACTAAACGTCCTACAGGCCATCAACATTCCAGTGTTTCGACGGCTACAAGCACACTAATACTCGTCTAGGTTTATTAAGTTTCTAGTCAATTACATGAAAGCACATTATTATTTGTAGATACAATCATTTTGCATTTTTAGTTGCGATGCAAGCTAGAACGGCTGCTCAAGCCGCAAGTCAACAAGCTGGAATGTATGCTGCTGAACAATCGGTTCCATTAGCTGTACGGGCTCCCGCACCTGCTGGTGGAAGAGGTAAGCTTTAAGGTTCTTCAAAAATCTAGAAGTGCAATTTTTCAAAGAAACATTTGAGTTTTAGGACGTGGTTTCTCTTTTTTATCTCAGGACTGCTGTAACTAGTCAGAATTTAAGCAAGACCTTCTGGACAAAACAGTGGTAAAAATCTTTCTGTTCTAACTCAAACTTCAAATTGCGCCCATTCAAAATCCAAACCGCATGAGATCGGATTTATAACATTTTGAAACAAGTCTAAGTGAACTCTTTTATAAATCGGTTATTATTCACCTACCATTAATTTGTTTATATTTACACTAAATTAGAGTAGAGCAGAAAAACTTTGAGAAACCACGAGTATTCTAGAATGATTTGATATACCAGTGAGAGAGAACTAAGAGTGTCTCTGTTCTAAACCTTGCTTTTTTAACATTTTACTAATAAACTATCAAAATGTTATGTGATTCTAAGTGAAGCCAGTTTCCGAGATCGTGTAATAAACAACAGTTCAGCCGTTTTCTTACTTTAGAAGGTCAGCAACGTCAAGAACAACAGCAAACCGGTGGACATACTACATCATCTCAATCGGGTGGTTTACCCCAACGCGGTGGAACCGATAAACGATAAAACACATCAGACAATGCTAATAATGGTCATGCATCTAGCGGACAATAAATAAATTATGTGAAATTTAACTCTGGTAAAAAAGATGTTATTTCTATGTCGGACTTGCTCTAGTGATTTTATGATCTATTTGGTGAAAGATGAAGACTGGGTGCGTGATATTGTTACTGTAGAAAAAGAAAATATTGTTGTTGTTTTGTTTGTTTTCATTTTAAGTTTTTGTTTTTAAATTGGAGAATGTTTTGTCTCTCATATGTGTCTATGAAAATAAAACTTGATGAAAGTCAAAAACAAATCAAAGATTGGAAAGCCGATTGAGTGAAACGCTTCTCAGAGATAGTAAGAACATGTGTTGACCTTGTGAGAAATTCAGACAGTTCCGTATCTCTATTGTTATTATAAACAGGCATTTCAGCAATCAAATGCAAAAAGGATTGAGTCCTATCAGTATTCAGCTCTGCGTGATTTCAACATAAATTAGTAGATCTTGAGAGATATTAGTTTAATAAATTTGATTTTGATTACTTTTTTAGTTACAGAAAAGTCTTAATCTTGCAAACTTGGAGCGACGCTTACTACACAGGCAGACCGTCTTTTTGTAGTTTTTGCTAAACCTGGCCTTGTAGCTAAGATTAGAAAAAAACATTCCATTTCAAAGATTTCTACAAAAACTTCTCAAAAATCAGCGGGCTTTCTGTTACCCTTTAAAACTCTTATTGAAATTCAGAATATACCGCATACAAAATGAAGTATATGTTGAAATTTTGGAGTAGTTTAGATCGATTTTGACTGAGTTATCAATTTTTTAATTTCCGTTGAAAACAGTCACAAATGGGTTATATAACCTGCTATAGATTTTCACTAGGTACTGGAATTTTCTCCTGAAAACGGACGTTGTCACTCAGCATGGTCGAAAACCTATGTTCAGAGTTATTTTCAAGGTTATCAGAGCTAACCGAACTGAGGTGCGTGAATCCTTAAAAGATGTCCGGAAACCATGCATAGAAGTTAAAACGATCGGACTTGCGCATATCGATGGAGGATATCCTAGGGTATATACTGAGCGTTTTAGATATGAAGGTCTTGCGAAAGTAAAAACCATTGACCTTTTCTTTCAAAGACTTGTTAGGCATACCACCTGCAGGTTGTCCCAGGAACTTTAGTCTTCCATAAGTATCTCCTCTCGAGTCATCTTCTCTAAACAATAGTGAAAATGGCAAGCCTCTATCTCATCCCTGTCAAAAAAATTATTCAGAAAACAATAGATTGCACTATATTTTGGAACGGACAGCACTATAGTTCCTGGTAGTTCATATTATATTGTATACACATTTAAAAAGTCAGAATTCAGTAGAAAAAAGTCTTGATTTAGTTTATTTGTTATGAACAATAGACACGACATGGACCATAATGACGACATATTTAGATGTCCTACGTAATAATCTATGACATTGTTTTGCGGTCTTTTCTTGAACCGACATGGCGGTGGACTACCAATCAAAAAATACCTGTTCACATTTTCTTATGTGGAAGCTATTGAATTGGGCAGTTTAGACTATTTTAAAACTTCCTTCATGTTCACAAGACAAATTTTATTTTCGTTTTAATCCAAATCTTTTTCGCTTGAACACCGGCGGTTTGTAAATTTAGTTTAAGAACTAGATTTGGCAGCTCGGTTATGTCACTTAAACAGCTCGGTTTAACACTCCCTCTGTGTTTATCAGAGACAGTGAGATAGCTCTTAAATCGTTCACACGCA